TTAATCAATTATACAAAGAGGTATTTGGTAAGAAACGCAATTTGGCTGCAAAGCCAAAACCTTGGAGGATAAATCTTTTATTTTATTTGGCGCATTCGGGATGGATTTTAATTCAAAAATATACCTTTTCACGTTTTTCTCAATCAAAAAATATTGGATATCAAACTTTTATTGATCTTTTAGACAACTTAATACCAGCAACTCTAGACATCTATACTAATCTCTTCGTGAAAATCGATTTGAAGAATATATTGAAACAAATTTTCGACTTTGATCTAGACGTAAAAATTATAACAAGCTTATGTTAGCATTTATATCAGATATTCAGTATTAGCGTGATTCTCAACAACATCATATAATTAACTTACTTGAAACAAATCTACATATTTTTGACAAATATCCAGTTGAAAATTTTCACAGTCTTATTCGACGACATACTAACTCAAAAATTAATACACCAGAGTGGCTTAGGCGGAATGCAATTTTTATTGATCATTGTCGGCATGAAATACTTTTGCACGATCTTTTTCAGCTACTAGATCATATCCTTATACAAAAAAAAGCTGGATATAATGACAAAACAAACTGCAATTTTTCTTTTGGATTTTTTTTGAAAAACTTTGGATTAATAAAAAGGAATGAAAAGTTAAATACGAAGGTAAAAAAGTCAAAAAACAAACTTATTATTTTCCGCCACTTACTAAGGGTTTTTCTGAGGGAGCTTTACCTACTGGATACCATACTTCGCATCCACCAAATCAAGATACCTTTTGTAATTGGGATAAATATACAGATATGTTATAATGAACGTTTGGAAATAAATATGAATTTCGAAGAAGAATTTGAAGATACTACACATAAAAATGAAGTTGATACATTATTAGACGAAGCTGAAGAATTTCAGAGTATTAGCATAATTGATGAAGGGCTTGCAAAGGCGATATCAGGTTTATGCGCTAATTTATAAAATTAAAGTATATTCATCAAATTATTTTATTAATTTTAATATCTTGCTTAGAATTTAGCAAAAATACATTAAAAATACAGCCACTATCTAGTATATTGCAAGATTTAATTCATTAATAAAATTTTATGTCAAAATGTATAAAATAAAGTTATGCGCAATATTAAAAAAAATAATTCATTGGCTGTTTTTTATCACATGAAATCTGATTTGGTTTAATTTTATTTGTTAATATCCACGTGAAATTGAACCAATAAACAGATTTTTAACCATGCTGTACTACATACTATATATGACGTATGCAAAGATTATTATCATGTTCATTGGCTAATTTGAGTTTTTTTTTTTTTTTATATTTCAACAACTTCGACAACTTCACCTTCACATTTGCTCTTCTTCTTTTTCCTCAACTTTACTTTTATTTACTCTTCTTATTTCTCTACTACCTTTTATTTTCTTTCCTTCTCATATATCGCTTATTATATTTCATCCCCCGCATGTATTCATATTCTTATCTTCGTCTATTTTCACCTCCTTTTACCTCTTCTATATTATCATTTCCCTCCTCTATATAATCGCCTATATTTATTTCTTAGAATGTTGAAGTAGTGAAATTCATTTTTCCTTCGATACATGAGAGTATTAAAATTCATGACTAGTTTTTATAGCCAGGTGCGTTTTCCTTTTGTCAAAGATTCCGTGGTTTACGTTAACAGTTCATTGCG